AGTAATTTTTGTGTTTTTCTACATCATATATTAACTTTATTTTATGGTTAAATTATTATTAAGATAGGACAACATTAGTTAGAGTACCGACATATCCTTTTTATTATTAAAATAATTAACCTGATATAACATTGTGGATATAATATTCTGAATTTGATTTCATTTAATTTGATTAGAAATAATGTTTTGTAAAATATAGATATTTAATAAAAATTTAATTAATATTTCATGTTTAGTAATATCAAAGTAATCATGTTACATAAGTACAACTTTCATATAAGCATAATAACATAATATTAGACAACAATTTTGTATAATAAGATAATGAAATTATAATATTATATATGAAATTGGGATAATACATGATTATAATATTATTATTTATAATAAATTTAAGTTATTTTTACTCAACAGTTACATAAATTTGAGGTCATATAACAAAATATTATAAATGTTATTACAAAAAAATATTCAAATTGTTATTAAAATTCACAATTATTTATTATTGCATTTATTTTCGCATATAATACCCAAGCATCAAGGCCATTATAATGAACAGCATGCACGTAAATATTAGCTTAATGAAACGTTTAGTCTCCATTTGCATGGAAATTAGCGAGGTCATTAAAGTGACATGGTCAGTATGTTGACGCTCGCTTATCTCGGTAATCTTAGTCGTAAACCTTAAATTAAAAATAAATCATCCCTAACTATTAACAACTAGTTTAGGATTATTAAGCTTGCTAAATTTAAGATAAACAATTGCAAATTAATTTAACATCTTAATTAGAATACTTATTAAAGTTATCCTGCTGGGTTTTTTGGTTTTCAACCAGATTATTAATAACAGCCACTTGTTTAGCCTCGCGCCGATGACATTGGTCAATTATGGTGGTCAGGCCAGTCTGCATATTACGCGTATACTCAGCCATTTCCTTGATCCTATTAATGTTAACATGGGCGTTTTCTGAGTTTAGCCGCTGGATCATAGCCATAGCCTCGCGATTTTCATTAGCCCTTACTTGAATTTGACGTTGGGCATTTTATTTTCAGCAATGACATGTGCCACGGCTATTAACGGTGCTGCTAACGGTATGAGCTGGGCCATTTTTAGTAATATAGTTATGGTCGAACTATAATATTTAATTAAATAATAATATAAAATATCAAAAGATGTTATCAAATTTGATTTAATATGTCTACACAACACTCTGTAGTATAATATTATAAAAGTAATGTCAAAACAAATTTGACAACCGATTTTGTTATTAATTAAATGAAAATGATAATTATTGTTTTATTTTGTGCTTATATAATCTTATATTTTATATTTAAAAATTATGCATAAAATATAAGAAAGCAAAATAAAATAATAATTATAAAATATTAATTATGAAATTATAGGTATACTATATTAATAGAGTTTTAAATTTGAAATAAGGCAGTAATATTTCTAACTAAATATCACATTGAATAATAGTTATTTTTATTAACTTATTTTGTCTGATTATTTCGGAAAATAAAAGTATTAGTTTATAAATTTGTACTTTCCCAGATTGAAATTCACAGTAATTAATCCATTGATAAATATTAGATATGAAAATATAACATAAATAAATTTATAATCATAATATACACACAAACCTATTTATGGACTGCTAAATACCGTGCTTGGTCACTTTTTAAAAAATATTTTGAAATATATAATTAAAATATCACAATCAATGTACTGTACAACTACCATGTTCACATCTACCCACATTACAATATATTTGTCAATAGCAACAAAATATTTTAATATAAAATACTAATATAGTAGGCATTACTGTATAAAAACTAAATAGGATCATGTTAGATTAACATTTAAACATTGACTTAGGCGATTTGATAAATTATGAGTATTTTATTATTTTTTTTGCAAAAACACGTTCATAATGGTAAAGAATAATTTTGATTACTTATTATTTTACAAATTATTAACATTTAATTACCTTGTATCATTTATTTCAGGAGAACTTGCAACAAATTACAGCTCAAAATATAAAATTGAAAGAATTAATAAACTTACTGAACGAACAAATTGCTCTTGGTACTTCATCCGAAATAAAAGATCATGCTACATTTGTGAAGAATTTGCAAACTTATTTTAGCGCTATTATTTCATATTATTATATTAACATATTATTATATTAATATAATATTATATTGTTTTTATGAATAAAAATTATCGAATTTCTTAGAGGGCTATGAATACAAAGCATTGATGCGAGCATTCAGTGAGAGTTGTGTTACTATTGTATTACACAAAACAGATATGCAGTAAAACTAAAATTATGACCAGGGTAGGAATATTTTATGAATCACACATAAAAGTTTTAAAAATTTCCAACATTACTATATAGTTTTTGTTAGCAAAATATAATTGTAAGTATTTTTAATTTAAATTGATACGATGGGACACCCAATATAATTATTGATCAAAATCTTGTATAAGTTATAAAATAACATCTGTTTTGATTGTAAATAAATCATGCAAATGATTATAACATAAATAATATATATTTAATTAATTATTTGAATTGTTTTACCTACACTATTTTTATAAAATAAATAATTTGAGTGTCTGCTACTAATGAATTAATAATATTTTATATATAATTTATTCCAAAATTACAATATTGTATATTAATTATATTAGGTGAATAAAAATTCGCGAAATTCTTAGAGCGCCATGAATACAAAGCATAAATCGCACATAAAATTTTAATAAATTTCCAACATTATGATATAGTTTTTGTTAGCAGAGTGACTACTAGAGACATAAGAAGAGAAGCACTTGGACGATCGACAGCGGCGCCTTATATAGCCCTCAGCACTGCGGCATTCTCTTGATACTGTGGAACTCTCCTTCTATTGGCTGATAGCAAGAAGTCTCGGATGACCTCTATGCCTTGGTTACCGGGCTGGTAAGGGTGTTAACTAGCTGTCAACTAGTAGTTCACTCAGTGCATGCCTGTTTCTATTTTTAGATGATTAATGATCGCTGTTTTATGTAGGGGTCGACAGGACGTTTGGCTGCCCTGCCCTGTCGATTTTACCACTACTACACGTGCCTATGTGAGTGCCATCTAGTGCAGACGTATCTTCAGGGCACCGACAGATGGCGAACTGTAGAGCCGCTCTGCTGCTTACGAGTCACAGCCTGCGCCTACGGTAGGTCGGTATGAAAGTGCTATATAGCTGCTCGACCTGAACAGTTGTGCCTTTATGTTGTGGTTGTAGGTGTTGTGCACCGAATAGACTACGCCATTGCTAGTTGCAACTCATCAGATTAGAGCGTTAACTACCGGAATCGGAGATTATCGGGCCTACAGATGGACACAATGGGTAAGCGCTAAGCCGATTATGCCGCCTAGATACTTATAAGGGACGCTCAACCAGGGCTGTGAGGGTGAATGGACTTAGGGATCCTCCATAAGGGTGGGTCGCCTGCCGTCTCAATGTCCATAGGAAGGATGGTGTTACGGGATTTTGGTAGAATGTAGGTTTCGGTTGGAGTACCCCCGTATTAACACGTGGGTACTACAATATTTTACAAATTAATTTAATAATTAACAAATAAGATATTTTAAAAATGAACAAATTATCAATTTATTATTTATCAACTAATAATTTTTAAAAATTGTTATCCATTATATACGAATTCCTTTTAAAATATATCTAAATTATTAAATAAACTTTTAAAACAAGAAATAGTATATGTTTTAATTCTAATGATTATGGATGGACGTAACCAATTAACAGGCAGATAAATTAACACTAAAACAAATGGTATAATTACAGTTGACATAACCATTAAACTACCAATATAAATTCCAATTAATTCGACACATGCAAAAAATATTATGATTCCCATTATAAATATCCTTTTGACCATATACACTTGAGCTGACCAACCAGTGCCGTACTTCCATTCAGTAACATAGGTCTCGCAATTATGATCCTATATTAATACAATTTTAAATATAATTATGGTTACTATTAAAGTGTTAAAGTATTAAAGTAAATTTAGTTCAACTAAATTATTTTATATTGACTTACAATTATATTATACTCAATAATAGTTTTATTTTTCTTCATTTCGTCCAACTCATTAAAAACATCCATATTTTTTTGAGACCATGCCGACAGTCTATATAAATCACTCCATTTACGTTGATTGTTTATGCGACACAAACTATTAAACTTGTCACCTTTAGGACCATCCTTTATTATATGGTGTAAAGGGTAAATTCTCACGACCACGTTGTTTTTGGATTTGTTATCAAGGGAGGCCACGTGGTAGCACATGATGTTAGATTTGCCATCGTTTGATTTGCAAAGGGCCCAATGATTGTGACCCCACCAACGTTGAATTTCAATTAGATCTCCTGGCTTGACACTCTTAAGTAGATCAAGGTGAGATCCGAAGTTATCAACATCTGATCCGTACATCCATCTTGATGATATAGGTCTCATTTTTCTATTAATTATCAGAATCGATTTATAGGTAGTTTTAAAAATTTTATAAAAATAAATTTTTTAATTACAAATGATTTATTATATACTTACATTATAATTCGTCTTATTATTAATTTATATACGAAGATTAATATTTTTATTATAAATATCTTAAGTGCCTTTGTTATTATATTTATTATAAGTATTATAATTGGTCTAATTATTAATTTATATACGAAGATTAATATAATTATAATCATTGTATTATATTCCATTTTCTATAAAAAAAATTATTTTTTATTGAATACTAGTAATTTTATCCACTTACTTCAATTGCATGCAAACTAATTGTCAATGTTCTAATTATCAAGTTGTAACTAGGGTAAAAATTATGTACAAAGTATCAGCCAAAACAATCAAAAAGTTCTCTGAATAAAATAAAAATGGGACTCACCCAAAAGGCCTAAACTTGAATAATTAACTGACCAATGGTCATTTGGTTTAATATAAGTTAGGTTAGGTTAGGTTGGGTCAAGACACGGCTATTCCACTAATCTAATTAAAAATATGTCCACTGGTCAGTTAGTTATTTGAGTTTAGGTCTTTTCGGTTTTAGGCCTTTTGGGGTAGAATCAATAAAAATAGAATCGTTATACAAATATCGTATGATACTGATAAAATTAAACGATATATAAATTCATTGTCTCAATAGGTGGCAGCAACAATAAAATAGAATCGCCTTAATATGTAAAACAAAATTTTAAACAAGCCTTCTTTTATTAAGCTATTTTCATTACAAATATTATGGTTGTCATATCACTTTATTTGAGTTAAGCACAGAATTGTGTTATATAAATAAAAATAAAACAATTATTAAAATTATGCTAGAATACACAAAACCCAAAATCAAAATTAAGCATAAATATTTAATTTTTGTTACAGAACTCAATGTCGATTTCTATAATGTATCCATGTATAGAATTGTTTCAATAGAGAAATACCTTTGCCCTGTTTATTCAAAATCATATATTTTATAAAAAAATTATTAAATTTGTACATGAATATTTAGTACATTGTGTGGTATAAAATATAATCAGTAAATGATATACACAATTTTATATTTATAAAATATCCTGTAACTTTAAAAATTATAACAACTTAATTTTGAAAGTCTGGTTCAGAGTATTTATTAAAATTAAAAGGTAATTAATTCCTGACAACTTACCAACATTTCATAAAATTTTCATCCCAATTGAATATTATCTTCATACAGTTAACATCCTTTGTTTGTCGGAAATGCTGTTATTTATAGAAAACACCATGTCAAGGTTAGACCAATTGTCAATATAATTTGGTGAAATTAACAAAATAAAATAA